GCTGCAGCACGGGGAGAGGGCAAGATTGGGAGAAAGATAACCCGGTGCCTGGAAAGGCTGCAGAGAGCGGCGAGTCCAATTTGGGACTGCTGGCTGTAAGAGCTGAGAACCGAGCTCTTCTGCTCTCTCTCTCTGGGTCACGCTCCTCTTCCCTCCCAACTTACATCGCTCCCTCTTTCCTCCATGCCCACCACCAGATCTTGGCACATTTTTTCCCTGAGCCTTTGGGATGCCCCACCACGGTACCCTGGGTCTCTCCGGCTGTGGCCCATACGCCCATGACCCCAAAGAGGCACCACAGCACTCTGAAATCCCATGGGTGGAAATAGGGATTGCTGCAGGAATAGAAGCCACGCAGCAAAACAACCCAAACCTCCTCTTCTCCCAGGCAAAACAGCAGGTCGCTGTGGAGTGGGACAACTCCTGCATCTCAGCCAGACAGGGGGATTGTATTACTGAGCTCCCTCCTTATGGCAATAGGTGGGATACCAGACTCAGCCTACCCTCGCTACCAAAGATCCAGCCAGCAAGGCTCAAAAAAAAGTTTGAAAGGAGTAGGAAAAATCTTACCTGTGTAAGGAAGTGTGCACAAAGAGGGGAAACCCCTTTCCCAGAGATCCTAACTCTATAGGTAGATACTGGCAGATAAGAGAGTATAAAAAATAAAACAATTTAAAAAAAAAAAAACCCAACAGTTTCTCCAGCCAGCTATGTGTAGGGGTCTTCCCTGGAAGAAGTGTGCCGCTCCCAGACTTGGGAAAAGGGGCTGTACAAGATGAGCTTTTCTGGAAAGCCAGATCAGTGCCAATGGCTGCACTGAAGTTACCAGCACAACACTGGCTTAGATCAGGCCCAGCACCCAGCCTGGGCTTTGCTCAGCACCTTTCTCCAAGAGAAAACCTCCTTAGACAATAAATTTTCTTCTGGGCCCCCCAGCTGTGTCTATGTCCACACAACAGAAATACCATGGATGTCACCACTGCTCCTGAGAGCCTCATGCCCATGCCAGCCCTGTCTGAGCGGTCGTTCACTCCAGCCCATGCCCCATCCTACTACTGAAGGTGACTCAAATGCTCAGCCAGTGACAAAAACAAGGCAAGGTGCTATGGGAGCACACTCATTCTGACAGCATCTGAAGCTCCTGGGCAATCCCATTCTCTTGTGATCTGGAAGACGGGTGTCCCACACATGTCATATCTGGGCATGTCACTGCTGGTAGGACACACAGAGCTCCCCACCCTCTGGTTGCTCCAGGGTCTCCGTGAAGGTCCTGCAGAGCAGCATGTGCCATGCTTAGTCCCTCCTTCCTCTTACACGGTGGGAATGGAGGCACATTTCGTTTTGCATTCACCTGGTCAATATCTCATTCAAATTTTAACAAACCAAGACTTGGCAGGCCCGAGTCCCAGCTAACGTACGTCAACACAGCAGCCTCAAACCAGTCACTCCACTGACTTTGAGTATCTGGTTGTATCTGGTACTCAGTATGCACTGACATGCACGTGCACGCACACAGCTCCTCTGGTCTTTGCAGTTTGAGAAAAGATCAGTCACGGCCATATACTTATTTCAAATTATCTCTGAAGCTCTGCTTCTTTTATTGAGAAGTCAAATGAACTCAAACTAATTTCAAATTTTAATTTTCTAGGACAATAGGAAGGCACTGGAATTTAATTGATTTTGATTACCTGCCTTATTATTATGCTGCCAGTAGCGATAGTTCAGGTTGGTGTAATTTTAAATTTACTGTGAGATGAATCTGACATTTCTCTGCTGCTGAATAGAGGACTTGAGCGATTCTTCAGCTCTTCACAAAGATGTCATAATTAATTCAGTAATATCACTTCTGTAAGTGGAGATAGAAAAGGAAGACATAGAAGCACCTACTCTGCGTCTAAGAGCTGAATGAACGACAGGCTTAGTTACTCCAGTTTTCCTGAAATTGATTGTATTTTTTTTTAACATTCAACACAATTTCTGCTGCAATTTCTGCCTGTCAGCACACGAGCAGGACTTACTAGCTGGCAATAATTTACATCAAAAAAGGTCAGCTAATCTTTTCCCCAGCTGCCTCCAAGAAGCATTTCCATCCCCTGATCAGCCCGGAGCAAATTCTTCTGCAATCCAAGTCTAGCTGCTTTGCTTTGTTCCCTTTCTGAGGGGGCAGAGAGTGCAAGGAATCAGATCCCCTGCCAGCATAAACCATCTTTGCTCTGTTGGCTGAACGGGACCTCCATCAAGACGAACAGCAGATGCCCCACCCCATCCCATCCCAACGCCTTCCTCTTGCCATGGGAGCATGAGAGATCACCTCCCTTCCCCGTCTGAAGAGGAGCTTTCCCCTCTGCCAGGGATGCCTGGTCGGGAATCGCTGCCCAGCTGAAGTGCGCGATGTTTTAATGCAATGGAAATTAAACAGAACCGTGAACTGGGACCAAAGTCTCTATTGACAGTGATATTATTTGAAAAGATAAGACTTTAAATGTGTACTGCACGAGATAAAACCTGGACAGGCAGACAATAGAAGAGTAGCTTTTTTTCTTTTTTTTTTTTAGTCTTTTGAAAGTAAGATTGCCTAGCATAGTCAGTGCTATAGTAAATACAGGTTTTTAAATGGTTTAGAGCAATTTGGAATATAAAAACACAGAACATTAGGATTTACTTTACTTTAACTGCCTCACAGAATTAGAAAAAATCAATTCCTTCATTTCAAAGCTGTTACATCTCCTCAAGCCAACTGTTAAAGAAAAATGAATTAAATTAATGTGCCCTTTTGAATTTAAGCACCAAACATTCCGAAGATGTGTGTGTAAAAGCACCAGCCCTCCCAGGCAGCATATACCTACACACGTGCTGTATTTCTAAACACAGCATGCAGAAGGTATTTTCAAAAGATTAAACTTACCTGAAATGTCTAGCATTTGTACCTGAAATGCTGAGCAGTTTCAGATGTGAGGAGTTACGTCCTGGACCAATTTTTATCCCTGGCCTGGCCCACTCAGCTGCCTC